TTTCTAGTATCGACTTTCTTTGGTTTTCCGAACTTACTACTGGGAATTTTATATTTTTAAGTAGTTCTCTATCTACTTACACATCTATCAATAATTTCACACCTACTAAAGTGTACACATAAATTCATTACATTCTATAACTTTTGAATAAATATGGAAATTTAAACATACACATTTTCCAAACTTTTGATTTTTAAAGAATGAGCCTTTTAAATTTTAGACGATCCTGAACTAAAAGATACCAAATCTTTTTTTTCTTTTGATCCCTTCATTTATTTCCTATTTTACGATAAACCTAATCTCGTTTACGCCGTGTAAAGCATCGATGACCCAAATTTGTTCAATTTCCTGTGTTAAGTTTCGTGTACTAGTAAACTTAGAATTCATAAAATCATTTAAATCTCTACGAATATTCAAATGCTAATAGTCCTGAAAAATCATTGTTCCAGAGAATAAAAATGTCATATCAATATTTAAAATGCATCGGCACTTGACGCAAATCGAAGTTAATGTCGCGTGACCTCCTGCACGCTCTCGTTTAATTATCGCGATAATCTTTTGTCTGCCTGAGCAGCAGATTGTAAAAAAGAGCTTTAGTCCTGTAACTGAACAAGACTAAAGGTCTGAGGGCGTTATGATATATTTTAAAACGTCAGAAAGAAAATATTGTGCAATGAATAAACACTTTTTTCCCCATCGGTATGTTTATCAGTCCATTCAGGTACCTTTGACGTTGAAATCATTCACAAGCATACATATACACGCACGCTTAAACAGATCGTCTACGCAGGCACACAAGATGCATGCGCATGTATGCACGTATGTATATGCATCTGTCTCTGTGTATGTTTGTTTGTCTGAATGTGTGTATGTACATACATACGTACGTATGTATGAATGTATATTCTATATACATCGCCACACACACACACACACACACTTGTGTATCAGTTACAGGCACGCATAAAATATCCACATAGTCACATGCATACAACGGAAAGGGAGGGGGCGATGAGAATGCAATAAGGCTTCGCCTAGATCTTCTACATCTTATTTTCACCCCTCTTATATCATCGAACCACCCTCCCAATGGTCCAATCAGAAATGTACGCTATCATCAACGTCTATTTTTTGCCTTGATTGGTCATTCGAATTTTCAAAGTCAATTCCATTTTGCTCCTCTCAAAAATACAGACGTTCAAAATTAAAATTACAGTATCGTGAACCACGATATTTATAAATCATGAAGAAGTGCTTAAAAGTGCCCCCCCCCCTTAAAAACTCAATATCTTCCAAAGATTAGCTTTACTCATATATAAACACAATTGTAGATACTGTACATATTTAAAATAATAAGTTTACATAACCTTCGAAACCTTATTCAACTCAATAATAGCGTTGCAAGTGAAAAACACTTTTTTGTGTCAACATACTGATAAAAACTTTAATCGCACCGTATCAGAAAGTAAGCATATATAAAATGGAAAAAAAACAAACTGAATCACAAATAATTACAGAAACGAAAAAGACCGTTTGACTCGAAAATTCGAAACTTCTTCGAGTAAGAAAAATTTGGTTTAGAATATTAGCTCGAAGTTTACGTCTGTATGAACTTCTTGAATACGATCTTTTTGTCATATTTATCAACCAATGGGAAGTGGTATGTATTCTCCTCGCTATCAATCACTTTACAAAGAATAGAGCAAGAGGGAGAAAAACAGAGAAAAGGAGGAGAAAAGTGAGACGGGGGAAAGAGAGAGAGGTATGGAAGGGCGAGAGAAAGAGAAAGAGAGAGGGGGGGGGAGAGAGAGAGTGAGAGAGAGAGAGAGAGAGAGAGAGAGAGAGAGACAGACAGACACACAGATAGGCAGGCAGACAAAGATAGCTAGAGAAAAAACATCAAATTGCCATATTCGTTATAACTCTATAATTAGTAAGTGGTAAAGAGACACGCTGGACATTGGCACGACAGGTGGCATTTAGATTTAATATAGAATAAAATTTACGTTATTGCGATAACATTTGGTATCGTTTTTGTTGTCGTCGCAAAAATTCGGACCCCGATGTACTACCCCTTTAAAAGTGTCTGGACATTTTAAGACGAAGAATCGATTTTTAGTTGAATTAATAGTAAATAGTAGTAGTAATCGTAGTTGAAGTAGTACACAGTAATATTATATAATATACAGTAATAGTATTAAAATTTGACTAATACTTAAAAAATGTAACAGTGCACATCGATGAAGGATACCATTACAATTAAATGTTTTCACATTATATAGAAAATGATGACAACAATTACAAACATGCGAACATAATTTTTAAAACACAACTATCTTGCAAACCGGTTCAGCCCGATTTTCGTCAAAATTCTTTTTTTTGTTCGTTCGATTTTTCTAACAGTTACAATAAAATATAAAAATAATTACCATCCATATCGATTTACTGTTTACGATTATTCCTGATAGCAATTATTACCTATATGTCGTCCTTGCTACTATTACGTTTAAACTAATAAAAATTCCACTAAAAAGTCGATTCTTTTATTCCCCGTTGCTAATGGAAGAGGTAGGTATAGCCCGTAGTATCGACGAGGATCTTCGCTTCGCTTCGTTTAAAGATCTTTTCTTTCTGCTTATTCGTTTCTCTCTTTTTCTCATTTTCTTTGTTTCATTTTATATCTTATTTCATTTTGCCACTTTTCCTGTTTTGATTAGATTGGTACAGTCTACGTTTGATATATAATACGCATTGCAGTCTCGATTAAAGGAAACTGTTTCAGAGCAAAAATGTGGAACACTCGTGAGACCATCGATCATAATTTACTTTCTTACACGCACATCCCTAAGAAAGCGTTGGCAGCGCCATGTTTAAAACTAGCCGACGTTTTTCATAAATATATATATAAATATATATATATTTTATATATATTTATATATAATTCTTACTTTTTTTGTTTCTTGGAACCTAACGGCTACGGTGTAGACGCGTAGTTTTTTTTACCTCTCTATCGTTTGTGCATCAATTCCCGAATTACACAACAACAGCTCAAAATTTCTTGTCACTTCAATGAAATTTGCTTTTTGCACATCGATGTTTTAATATATCGATTAATGTATGTGCACGCGCATATTTAAATATTAATAGATTATTAATAACCGAAACAAAAATTATAACATACACCAATATATAATATTTAAAAAATCGACGTACAGAGTTATGTATATCATTAAAGGCGGTCAGAGCATATATGTGCTGTGATAGTTTGTATAAACCTTACGAATTAAAAATCTACTAATATGCGTTTATTAAATATAACGCATTAGTGAATACACTCATTTACAGGATCACTACTAGATTAAATCAATAACAACTGGTCGAAAATTTAAATATTGGAAAATGCAATATTTCGTCATATTAAAGTTGAACGTCCTCTAAAGTATATTGCACTGCAGAAGCATGCGCGTGCAGTAATAAATAATATCAGGACTATTAAAACATCGATGAATAGTACGCGGCAATATACCAAAGTACCAACTTAAACTTTGTAGTACATTAAAAATACATGTTTGATGATTAATCGGAATATCAGAAATTTATGTGTATGTATGTATGTATGTATATATACACACGTATATATATATATGTTTATATGTATATATACATATATATATATACGTGTGTATATATATATACATACATATATATACATATATTTAACACTTGTTTATACGTGCACACATTCGTACTTATATGCGTATAGATATAAACAAGTGCATATGCTGCGATATTTATTAATATATATCTATTAATATCTCTTTATTAATATATATTTATTAATAAGAACGCGACTTGCATAGGAAGTATAATACTAATTCAATGATTCAAACGTCATGAAACGAGCCTATCAAAAAATGATGCGCGTTTCACAGGTTCGTATGCGGGGGGGTGTCATCAGATGAAATTAGTATTACCTTAGAATACCAAAACACCAAAGGTTTGTAACACAAGCGACATAACGATAATACTAATTTTTAAGATTTAAAACTGCTTAGTACGCGGTCATCACATAGTACGCGTAATATTAACAGTACGCGGATTATCAATTGTAATTGTAAATGGTACTACCTCAAACCATTGAGAAAACACAGCGCACACCGAAAGCCTTAAAATTTATAATATAGCTTCTCCTTCGTAAATCCCGATTTCGAACTTCTATTTAGACGAGAGACAAAAGAAAGAATCAAATATCAGATCCCCTATTGGTGGCGGAATCACACGACAAGTTGGGATGCACGAATATATGTGCGGTGCACATATAGGCGGCGCTAATTTAAGTTTTTAAGTAACTAATTCAAGAGAACCGACCCGTCTGACAATGCGCAATATAATTGACGTATCGTGAAGAAGAAGGCTTGGTCATCGCACGAGTCATATCGCCTTTCCGTGCGGCACTCTACATCGACTCACCTCCCAGAAGGTCTCCGGGTAAGTACGAATTCAAAGAACTGGGTGTAGCACGTTGTTGATCGTTGTTGTCGATGCTAGCGTTGCTCCATAGAGAGTTACTGCTCGGCGGGGCACCCCACAATTGACTGGAACTGCCGCCCCAAGTATCAGGGGGCGGACCACTTTTGTTCGAAGGTCGCAGGCCCCATCCGGCACCTGCTGTAGCTCCAGCCTGCTGCTGACCACCGTGACCCAATTGTTGTAGCAATGTATGTACCTCGCTGTCAGCTGGATACTCCGCGAATATAGTCGTGTTGCCCAGTACGCAATTGTTCAGAGCTCCTTGTGCCTAAAGTATCATACAACATGTTATCAATTATCTCTTCTAACAACACCACTTGAGCTTATGCAGTGCGATCTAGCTGGAATTACCACATTGATTTTTGTCGTTATTCCTGATCTCGTTGAGAAAGTTTGGATGGAAGTTGAATGGCTTTAAGGTTGGCGTTAGGTTGTTTGCTCCTGGGTGAATGCATTAAGGACTTATGAAGGTCACCTTTGATTTCTTATATATACATTTCCCTACGACTAGTAGAGGAAGGCCTACTGGCCCAGTAAGCCAGCTAGGGCAAAGAAAATTATTAGATATGATGATATTTCAATTTCAGTATTAATAAAAAGCTATCATTAGTAAGTCCTTAACGCGATCACTCACATCTGCTAAGCCATTCCACTTTTATCCAAATTTTCCCCGCTGTAACTGACAATAATAACAAAAATCAAGGCAGTAATTTTAGGTAAAATCAATCGTAATCGATTGGAATGGTATTAGAGTCATCAGTAGGACTGTGGCTCTTTATGCTCTCATAGCATAGTCAAATTCATAGTACCTGATTATTAATATAAATTAGTAGCACTTAATATTTACAATTAAGAAAATCGATAAAAGGAATGTTTCAATATGTCCATTGTTATGAAATATGAAAATTTGAATTGCACCTGAACTTGGACATTTGTATAAAGATTCATATATATATTTTCTACTACTTGTAAAAATATATCCAGTACATGTTGTTATTATTATATTAGAATTTTTTTCTCCTTTCATTTCACCAAAAGCTATTTTCAAGACTGAAATGTCTGTCATACCCGAAAATACCCTGTACCTAAAAGATGATTAATAACATGATTAAAGTGGCCCTTGAAATTTTGTATTTTGTTAGAAAGTTTCTCTTAAATAAAATTTAACTTAAGAAATTATACATATACGGATATGAATAAAAAAAGAGATGGTCTAAGTCAGGTTTCAGCAAGTCGCGGCTCGTTAAGTCAAATGTGACTCTTTCCCCCTCTTACGTGTTCTGTGACTCATCCCCACTATGCACCTTCAGAGACGCGACGCAAGAAACGATATGAAATTGTTTCTTCTGTGCATCACAGAGAGCTGCCCTGTTATGTGCAGCAATGTACATGGAGTAGTAGTAGTGGAGCTTGTGGCTCGCGATCGATATGACTCGCCCAGACTTGTTCTAAGTAATCAATGGAGGGTAATTGTTCGAATATAGATCTTTAAACAAAATCAGAACTTTCTGGTACGATTGTTAGAAATTGCAATTTAAATGAAAATTGATTTTTTATCCGAAGAATTTCAATATGTCGAAAATCAAATAGTAATATTCTTATGTCCTTATGAAACTGTTTCGTATTTCACACTCATGTTTATTATAATTGAATAAAATCTGCTGCCCCGCGATAATGCGAAATTTCCAATCTATCTCTTGACTGTCAGCCCCGCAATACATATTTCGGAATTTTCAGTCTATCGTATGAACTGCATTCCCTGCGATAATATGGGTTTTTTATGTATGTATGCATGTCGTACGCATTGATGTATATATACTTATCACCTTTTGTTTCGTTTTGCATTTGTTTAGCAAGTAAAAAAAGGGACGACGGCTGCCTTATATGTGCTGAATGTCACGTACCATTACTTCTTGGACAATGTTTTGAAAATATTAATAAAATTAATATTTATATTTCTTTTTTTATAAAATATTAATTGCTTTTATCTAATTAATTCTATAATATTTTATATATATTTGCTATTTATAATAATATATTTATATTTTTGCCTTATTTATAAATTAAAAATTTCGGTTTTGTTAGTTATTATAATTTATATGATCAATGAACAACCAAGATGTACTATTTTACGAAAATGTATATGGTTTTTAATATTTCTATAATTGCCCATTCTCCAAAACAAGCAAGTGAGGTTGGCATTCAAGCTTTCAACGGCTGTTACTTAACCGGCTTGCAATGTTTTAAGAGTGTAAACGAACATGTAATTGTTATAAAAATCTAGGCATATAATGATTATTGTACCTTAACAGCTTCGTCTCGTGAAGAGTACTTGGTTAATGCAATTCCATGATTAAGGAATAATCGGAAGTCCAATACGGGGCCGTGTTGCATACAGAGAGTTTTCAAAGTGGAACCATCGATTTGAGGAGTTAGATTCTTGAGTAGTAACCAGGTGGAAACCCAGCCAGCGTTTGTGCTCGATTGAAGACCCCATGAACTGGATGATCTGCTGACAGTGCCGAGACCTGTCCAACCATTACTTGTGTTTCCGGCGGCTTTGTTGCCTAGTCCAGGCGGTGGACCACGAACCTTGCTGATAGGTGCTCCCCACAGTTCAGATGTGACTGCAGTTGGCGGTGGTGCAGACTCGCCCCACGTAATTTTAGTGCTACAAAATAATATTTATTTGTTTCAAGTATTATACTCGTTAGAAATATCCTGTCATGTTATCATTCATGGCAATTATTTCATGAGACAATTTTTACAAGTTTACCTGGTGAATGCACTAGGGGTAGTAGCAGGTGGGTTAAACGTCCATGTAGAGTTACTCAAACTTGGTATCGATGTATCAAGGTTAGTAGGTTGTTGAGGAGGCGGCGGTGATGTTTTGCTGCTCAAATTGAATATAGCATCCGGATCCTTGATTGTAGCTAAGGACAACGGCGAACGAACTACAGAACCGGGAGTAATGCTTGGATCATCCTCGATGCTCTTCATCTGTGTACCCTAAAATGAAATTAAATATAGGTGGACCTGAAAGAGTCTCTACCTCTTCCGTATCTTTCTCAGTACTTTCTTCAATTTCTTTTCTACCTTCAGCCATTTCTCATTTTAATATTTAAAATAAGATATTATGAAATATTCACCAAATGAATTCAGTGCAGAGAAAAGTAATGAAAGAATAGAAGTGTATGAAAACGTAGTTGTACATACTAATTTCAGATAAACAAAGTAATAATATTTCATACCGACAAATGTAGAAACAGCCAATAAAAAACATTGTAAAACATATGGTAAGTACGGTATTGGAAATGGATTACCTTCCATGGTTTGCCAGGTTCGAACTCAGGTACAAGGTCTGTGAAAGTAGCTGCACCAGTTGGTTGCCAATCCTTTCCATCGGTAGAGTCCGTATTACCTGGATCGGGCCATCCACTCTCTCCGAGTCTGGTGGACCATGTACCATCTCCTTGACCCAACAAAGGATTCATGTTAGGACTACTGTGTGATTGTGTCAAACCAGCCAATGAAGCTGCTGGCTTACTGGTAGTTCCAGGTGCTCTCGAGAATTCATTCGTAACTAACTCTCCATCCTTGTCCAATGAAGGTAACTTCCACTGGTTCAGTCTTGATTGTGGCTGACTCTGCAACAATATATGGATCATTACCGTATCGTGAAGGATTATTATCTTTGGAAGACATTAAACGACTCAGTCGTTTAAATTCTGAACAACCAAATGTTTTTAATTCTTTACATTATTATATAAATATATTGATTAATAAAAATCCTCATTCATTGTATTTTGAAGTTATAGTTGTAGTAAAGAGATACTCACGATAGGAGGCTCCTTGTTCATTGTTAATTCTGTAAAACTGTTTTGCAAGGCTGACATGGGATCATGAACAGAACTCTTATAATATTCTGAGCTTTGAGACGGTGGAGCAGGATGTTGTTGTTGCTGTTGTTGTTGCTGCTGCTGTTGTTGCTGCTGTTGCTTCATATAGGTGGCTTGTTGCACAGCAATTTGATTTTGTAAATTTGCTATTTGCTGTTTTGTTTTTGTAATTTGTACACTTATTTGGAGGACCGATTGTCCATTACCCTTCATAGTACTCTGTACCGAATGCTGTTGATGAAGTTGCTGTAGAACTTTGATTTGTTGCAATAATTGGTTCAAAAGTATTAAAGTTTGAGGTGCAAGAGGTTGATTTAGAATTTGATGGTTTAAGTAACCTTCTTGGACGGCTAACTGAATTTGTTGCACTAACATGCGCAACTGCTGAGTACTTGGTTGATTTTGAGGAGTTCTAGAAGGCTGAAACGAAAAGAGAATATTTTGAATATTGATTAGTGTATTTTAAAAATATCTTCTACGAGAACAAATAAATACAGAACAATACTGTATTAGGATAATTAAAAAGCGTACCTGGTTGAAGGGTGGTTGTGGTGCATTGCCACTTGGTTGTTGTTGCTGTAAAGGAACAGCAGCTTGTTGTTGCTGTTGTTGTAATTTCAACAAACTTGCACTAGCAACCGATCCTCCTACACTGCCAGTTGTGTTTCCGCTTGCTACTCCAGCACCCTACAATTAAAAGTCAATTATCGGAATAGTATCCATAAGAAGCCTGTCGGCCTGTAGCCCAGACATCGGAAATGTTTGAGCAGGGTCAAAAAGATTTTAATTGCCTCTAGCAAAGAAGAAAAAGAGACATCCTTCATTTTCTAATTACGTAATTATGACTCTCAAATGACATGATGTATACTGCTCAGCTCTCTAATACTAACAAAGATGGGCACCGAAACGTAATGCACGCAATGAACTGAAAACCCGAAACCGAATTTACATTATTCTCTATACAGAAAAAAGGCGAGACCTGCTCCGACAGCAGACCATTAAAGCGTCATGGTGTTATGAAATAAAAAACTATTGGAATGTGAATGTTGAATATTAAAATTATTATATCTTACCGGCGGAAATGACATCTGCTGTGCGACATGATTAAATCTGGGATATGCTTGTGCAGTTGTAGCTTGATTGCTTGGATCATAAGTAGAGTGTGCATCATGCCTTCTCCATTGATCTAGAGGTCGAATCTGACTGAGAAGTTCCAAAGCTTCGTCTCTGTTCATCTCGCGATTCCTCAATGCTAATTCAACATCATCTTTCTGCAGGCAAAAACAAATCATTGAACTTGTTAATTATAAGTGTCTTTGTATAGCAACAAGTTATATATTAAATATTTTTTAGTCGCAAATATACATGAAAGTGGTTTTATCTATTATGAAAGTACCATGATAGAATGTGGGCCAACTTAAACATAGTTTAAAAGCCATAGAGAGCTTATTGAATTTGCAACAATCGGTATTAATAACTTATAGGTACTTTGAATCCTAAATCGCAGAGATATCGGAATTCTCTGCTGCTCCATATGACTTCCTTTGTAAGTATGGGTTTTGTAGGATGACCCCAACTAGGAGAATGATCCATATCGGTGTCTGCCCAACTTCCAGCAGGTCCCATTGGTTTAGGTTTGTGAGTACTGGGTCCGCCCCAAGTGCCTGGGTTCAACTGAGCCTCATTCCAGGTACTTGGTGTCTTTGGGTCGTCCCATGAACCTGTATCGTGTGGACCTTCTGTCCAGCTACCATTCCGTCCTCCAGGGGCACCAGGGTGGCCCCACATTGGTCCACTCACGTCTGGTTTCATTCCAGGTTGACCAGGCATTCTGTTTTGTGGCATGCCTGGAGGGCACTGTGAGCCTACAAAAACCAATTCAATCCTTTAAAAAGCCCACTTCTTCCAATTCTATTAGAGTTGCTAATTTTTTGACACAACCGTTTGTTCCTCCAACTGTTCTTTTCATTCAAAAATATGGTTTACTCAGAAAATAATGATAAACATGTAATAGGAAGACACATACCTCCTCTAGCAACATTTGGCGTTGGAAGATCCTTCCAATGAGAAACTTTGCTTCCAGGGATGGTCCTCTGATTAGCTGCAGCATTACCCCATAGACTGGTACCGTCGTCATAGTTCGGAACATTTCTTCTTTGTGTCGGTGGAGAAGGTTCCTCCCAACCTGATGGTTTTCCTGGCATAATATCTTTTGGTGGTGGAGCAGCCCACTGATTTATACTGGAAGGATTCAACATTTTCGTTGGCGGGCCAGAAGGATGTTGATGTCCCATTTGATGATGCGGAGGTCCAGGTGGTTGGCCCCACATGGTGTCTGCATTTGCACCATTCAATCTTCCGGAAATACCTCGCGGGTCCCCGCGCATATCTGTCATTCTTGGATCTCGAGCCATAGGATCCATTACACGTATATGTTCTCGAGGATCCAGAGACATTCTATGATCACGCGGATCTCGTATTTCACGAGGATCAACGGAACGTAGATCGCGGGGATCACGATGATCGATTCTTGGATCAGCCCAATTTGATCCTATAAAAAATATATATTATATGTCTTGTAAGGAGATATTTATAATTTTTTTATTATTAATGATATGATCTATTTCTCGCGGTAAGCATGTATATTGTTAACAGTACATACAGTGTTGCAATTAAAATTATATTTTGGAATGAGATATTATTTACTAATTTTTTATTAAAATATCTAATACCTTTGTCAGACATATTTTTTTGTTTACTAAGAAGAAACATAAATAAATATTTGATAAAGCTAACTCAGTAACAAAGTAAAAGTATATAAATATAAACTTGCAAGCAATTGCTTTTCTGCAAATCCAAAATTGGAAGTAAATATTTTGCAGTTCTTTTAGATGTATGGCTTTCATTATAGCATTTGAAATTACGATCACCCTTGGTAATTATTTTGATTCCAAGAATAGACAAAATTATTTAAGTCGCGTGTTACTAATTGCTCGTGTATATGCACCCTAATATACAGTTGCTAATGTTTCGACAAGCAACATTTTTTAAGTTGATCATCTAAGAATGCTAACGATACTTTCTTTTCTGATTGTTCTTATAATTTTCTTGTCAATCCAATGATGATACTGACTGTCTTCTGATTTTGTGATATATTGATGTAATTTCGAATACCTACAATGAAATTTAATTAATTAGATATCTCCCACTATACACTTCCATTTTTAAATTAGTCAGAATAAGAAAATGTATGTAAAATTGATGTAATAAATAGAAATTATCTTTGGTAGAGAAACGCTTTATCAATTATGTTATGATCATGTTTGAGAAATTTGTCCATTTTTATGAAAGTAAGCAATCTCTCAATTATAACAGTAAATATCTCATATTCAATTAATCATTATCCCCCCTCCCTTCTTTTTGAAACTATATTTTCAAGTACTTAAATGTTGATGATCTACACGAATTAATACAAATTAATTATTCCTTACAAGATACTGAAAATCAGCGAATAATAGTAATGATAATGGATAATCTTTCAAGGATAGACAGGAATTTACAGTAGGGTTTTTTGGGTTGTCTTCAAATATGCACGAATAAATGAAAAATCAATGAATATGCATAATGTTTAGTAATGCTCTACATGTTTTCAGAATAGAAATTTGACATAGTTAATCAATGTTAAAAGCGATTGAAGAAGAGAGCGAGAAATCTATAGGTATATATATATAAATGGGGACTGCACCCATACTTCCATCAAATTATTGATCAAATAGAATTAAGTGAAACAAACAGGATGGTATAGTCAAATGAAATAAAGCATAATATGTTGTATGTATTTATAGTATAAATAAATTGTATACCTTCAATCATTTCAAAATTACCTATAAGGTTAAACAAAAGTATTTAAGGTAGTAAAGACGGGAGGGGATTCGGTTATGACTAGTATTACCTCCCCACATACCGGCTTGATTACCGGTGCCCGTTGTCCACTGCCCAGCAGCAGTGTTCGGTTGAGAAGATGTAGGAGCCCCAGTCCACATGTTCGATGAATCGGTAGCTTCATCATCTTCACCCCAAGTACCACCAATATTTGTTGCTGGTGTATGACCCCAAGGTGTTTTCGGTTGTTGCTGAGGTGGTGGTTGACCACCGTTCCTGATGTTGGCTTCCCACAGGTCTGTACCGGTGTTTACTGGTGGTTTCCAGACAGGAACTCCATCTTTAGACGAACTAGGCTCTGGAGTTGTTGGAACATCCCAGTTTGTGTCCTGGTTAACGTGTTGCTGTAAAAAAGCAAGATGGATGGATGATCCTATATGTACATAATCATGTGCTATGTTAAATCGTGTCTAGCTTTGTTATTAGTTACAAACAACACAATTATAAAGAAACTGTTTGTATTTTGTATCGTATGTATTTTCTACATACGATAATAATAGTATGATAATTATTGCATTCTTTTTGTTTTTTCTCTTCTATCAATAGATGTATGTTTAAAAAAAATATATATATAAATAAACTTCTGCACTTACAAGATAGACATACATACTTGTAATAATACTTACACGTCCCCAACCATCCTGACTGAACAATGCTTCTCTCATTGTATTTAATTGCTCCAACTGCTGTTTTGTCGAAGGATTATTGCTAGCAGGTGTATTATTAGTATTTACGGACCCCTGACCCTGATTATTTGGCTGATTATTACTGTTATTGGAGTTTGACTGTTGCTGCTGTTGCTGCACTGTATTATTATTATTTGGAATAGAAGGATTTTGGCCAGGTCCTCCAGGATTACTAGACATCCCTTGTGACCACTGATTATTATTCTGACCACCTTGACTTGTGCTACTTGATTGTGAAGTTGGTGGACCCGATTGCTGATTCGATTGCTGATTCGGGTTATTCATCTTATTCACATTACCTGAAAGATTTCGCCATCAGACATTGCATTAATAACAAAGTAAACCAAGCACTTGAAATCGTATAAATTCATTTGACAAATTACTTTATCAATTTAAAAAGCAAATCGAATATAGTATCCCACTTCTTACTTTGCACTACTCTATGTGACAAAGCGAGATAAAACTTCAAAATGTTTTAATGTTGCGAATTCATTTTTGTTGAGTTTATGATAGTGTCGAACAAGTGTATGAGTATCCAATTAGCATAGAAAGTATTCATATAGTAATTAACATCAATAAAAGAATTCATATATTACTTTCATGTATTATTTGATTTCTATAACACACACATATACACACAATACTTACATATTTATAAACATCATACGAGAGAGATGAGCACGAGTAAAATACAATAGCTGACATACGGGCGAATTCAAACGTAAACTGCCTTATATTTTACGATCAGTGCACTCAAAATTGACTGTCTGAAGATTCCAAAAATTGGGTGTGTATATGTGTGTGGGGGGGAGGGTATAATAACGGACGCTAAAGTAGATACCTAATATGTATTCATATACTTTTAGCTTGATAAGAGAAGTTTTGACACATGCACGAGAAGAACAAAATTCATTGACTGCTTTAATATTTACAATAAAAATACAGTAATTTCTCCCTAATTCGCGCTCAAATTGCGCACAAAAATGGGCAATTTGCGAAAACAAGATACGATTATTCGAGCCTTGCGGATCGTTTTTATAGTTATAGATTGTTAAAAACTATAAAAACGAGACGCAAGGCCCGAATAATTGTATTTCATCTTCCCAAATTGTTCATTTTTGTGCGCAANTTCATCATCTTCACCCCAAGTACCACCAATATTTGTTGCTGGTGTATGACCCCAAGGTGTTTTCGGTTGTTGCTGAGGTGGTGGTTGACCACCGTTCCTGATGTTGGCTTCCCACAGGTCTGTACCGGTGTTTACTGGTGGTTTCCAGACAGGAACTCCATCTTTAGACGAACTAGGCTCTGGAGTTGTTGGAACATCCCAGTTTGTGTCCTGGTTAACGTGTTGCTGTAAAAAAGCAAGATGGATGGATGATCCTATATGTACATAATCATGTGCTATGTTAAATCGTGTCTAGCTTTGTTATTAGTTACAAACAACACAATTATAAAGAAACTGTTTGTATTTTGTATCGTATGTATTTTCTACATACGATAATAATAGTATGATAATTATTGCATTCTTTTTGTTTTTTCTCTTCTATCAATAGATGTATGTTTAAAAAAAATATATATATAAATAAACTTCTGCACTTACAAGATAGACATACATACTTGTAATAATACTTACACGTCCCCAACCATCCTGACTGAACAATGCTTCTCTCATTGTATTTAATTGCTCCAACTGCTGTTTTGTCGAAGGATTATTGCTAGCAGGTGTATTATTAGTATTTACGGACCCCTGACCCTGATTATTTGGCTGATTATTACTGTTATTGGAGTTTGACTGTTGCTGCTGTTGCTGCACTGTATTATTATTATTTGGAATAGAAGGATTTTGGCCAGGTCCTCCAGGATTACTAGACATCCCTTGTGACCACTGATTATTATTCTGACCACCTTGACTTGTGCTACTTGATTGTGAAGTTGGTGGACCCGATTGCTGATTCGATTGCTGATTCGGGTTATTCATCTTATTCACATTACCTGAAAGATTTCGCCATCAGACATTGCATTAATAACAAAGTAAACCAAGCACTTGAAATCGTATAAATTCATTTGACAAATTACTTTATCAATTTAAAAAGCAAATCGAATATAGTATCCCACTTCTTACTTTGCACTACTCTATGTGACAAAGCGAGATAAAACTTCAAAATGTTTTAATGTTGCGAATTCATTTTTGTTGAGTTTATGATAGTGTCGAACAAGTGTATGAGTATCCAATTAGCATAGAAAGTATTCATATAGTAATTAACATCAATAAAAGAATTCATATATTACTTTCATGTATTATTTGATTTCTATAACACACACATATACACACAATACTTACATATTTATAAACATCATACGAGAGAGATGAGCACGAGTAAAATACAATAGCTGACATACGGGCGAATTCAAACGTAAACTGCCTTATATTTTACGATCAGTGCACTCAAAATTGACTGTCTGAAGATTCCAAAAATTGGGTGTGTATATGTGTGTGGGGGGGAGGGTATAATAACGGACGCTAAAGTAGATACCTAATATGTATTCATATACTTTTAGCTTGATAAGAGAAGTTTTGACACATGCACGAGAAGAACAAAATTCATTGACTGCTTTAATATTTACAATAAAAATACAGTAATTTCTCCCTAATTCGCGCTCAAATTGCGCACAAAAATGGGCAATTTGCGAAAACAAGATACGATTATTCGAGCCTTGCGGATCGTTTTTATAGTTATAGATTGTTAAAAACTATAAAAACGAGACGCAAGGCCCGAATAATTGTATTTCATCTTCCCAAATTGTTCATTTTTGTGCGCAATTTGAGCGCATATTGGGGAGAAATTACTGTACTTATCGTGTGTACTTCATTTATCTTCTAAGTTTTTATAAACATATTTACAAAACGTGCATACATATTAGTATCATTTAGGCATTCTAACCAGTCCCATAAATATACAAACATTATTTGTTTAAAAAAATACTATGTATGAAACTGAAATATACGACATTTCCTTTAATTAATAACTCTACTGTACTTCCAAAAACCGGATACACTCAATTTGACTGAAATTTTGTTAATAGCTTCATTTTGCATAAAAACAATTTTATCAGAAAAATTTCCGCGACTCGAAGTTTAATGACCAAACTATGACACACTAATACTCAATTCCTGATGAAGATAGCTCCAATGCTTGCAAAACGTTAGGACGACTTTTCCAAAAAAAAGACGATTTACACCCGAAAGCCTCAGTAGTGAGAACTACATAAATATTGTACATATTAAAATGTATTATATTTATTAAAATTTATTATATATTGTATGTGATCATTTGTTATCATTTTACTAAAAGTTCATGACAAATGTGCAATAGAATACTGAGAATAAAAACACGATGCTAGAGAGAGGTTGCCGTAAATACAACCATAGAGAGGAAATATTGCAACATGAAATTAACAAAAATAGTCTGATGAAAAAAAATAAGTGGAATACAAACGACAGAAATTTTTTATTTGAGACCTTGTTTTAAACAAAACTAGAAAATTTGTAGAATACAGAATAACTATTCTGTTATTAAATTTAACTGTATAATAAGGTCTCTCTAAAACAGTGTATAACGATGAGCTACCACAAAAAAACAGTAATGTGCTTATCTTACTTTAACACGCGTTTAATTGCTGTTACTTCAAATTTAGCTGGATGAATGTTGTCATCTATTGGGTATAATTATGTAAAAATCTGCTCGTTCAAATGTGTTAAAGAAGGTCTCATTCGACAAAAAAACAATATTTTTTAAATACAATTTAGAATGTATATGAGTTTGTCACGTTTTATATTCAAATGAACGGTACTAAAATTAATTATAAATTCAAATTCTTCTTATGTGAAGAAAAATTCGTTTTGTCAAAAAATAAATTATGTAAAATCACGTAATTTCAACGTAATAGTTCTTTTTCATCGAATGCTCTGCACTCATTCAAATTAGATTACTAAGTATATCTATTAGACAGGAAAGAAGATAATAGGGTATTCTGATCTAGAACTTTGAAAAGAATCATTTACTTTTTAATTCTTTGAAGATATACGTTCTCAAAACATGTCCCCACGAAAATTTATTTATTTTCGTCAAAATATCGATATTATAGATGTTTGGGAAAACAAAAATATGGCTACTTATACTGAGGTCATAGTGGACCCCAAATAAAAAGTGCAAAAAAACGTGTTAATCTAATTCTAGATAAACGATCCACTTTATGATAGTATTTCATTCTTAAATAATGTATAAAATAATAGAAACATGAAAAATTAAACTCTCATTATAAAATAAAATAAAAATACAATGTCGGGCTGATTCATGACCCTAGCATACCACTTAAGGGTTAAGTATGTTGGCTTGAAACTATATATATTGTATACTCAAGTATACATCAAGAAATAGGAAATATGTGTAGAAAAGAATCAATACAAAACACTGTTCTAATTTGGTTAAAAACGTCTCAAGAACGCCATAACAAAGACGCTCTAGACCAGAACATCCCCTTTGCATGTTGGCTGCCACACCAGTACCCACAAGTTACACAAAATCTTATATGATTCACTATAGCAATTATTTTGCAACTCTCTAACAGCTTGTAGATCCTAGAAAAATGTTGATATTCTTAATAGATTGCAGTAAACATTCATTTTTAATATTGCTAAAGAAATTGTGTCACATATATGACTGAAGTGACAATTAAAGTGTTAAAGCCATAAGGTGTCCAAAATGAGTGACTCACCTGGAACATTCTGTCCACCGAGTGGCCCTGGGTTCTGATTCGAATTGAGATTGCCACTGACAGATCTGTTCACATTGCCCCCGGACCAATTTCCGGAATTGCCGCTGTTTCCGGAAGGGTTTCCAGACGTCCCTCCCCAAGCAGTCTGATTGTTGTTATTATTATTGGTAGCGCTTGCCTGCGTAGATCCCCAATTCGTGGATCCGCTGTTGTTCAATGAACTTTCACCACCGCCAGCTAACCTAAGAATAGCAGGAATGTCCCAACGCCTTTTGTAATCCAGGATGGGCTCTCCCATATTGTAAACTGGTCCAAACAGAAGAGCCAACACGCGCTTAAGCTCATTTTTCAGGGTTTGTAGAGTATCGTTGGAACCTCCTGCGAGTGCTGGTATGAGATTCCTTACACGGTCGATGAGTTGTTTTCGGTTTGAGCTATTCGAGTTGAGAGTTTCCTCGTTTACCGAGCGGTTAGGAACCGAATCCTTCGTACGGACGACGATTTCTTTCAGTTGTGTCGAAGTGGTTGGACTTCCGTCCGAGTCTTGGCTGTTCTTGGAACGATCCTGAGTTTGACACCTGTCGGAATTCTTCGAACCGTACTGACGGCTTGCAACGGCATTAGTCTTCATCGATTTCGGGTAGTTTCCATGAGAATCTTCATTGTCAACGAACTGGGCAGTTTGTAAGGTCAATTTGATTAGAGCATAACGATCGAAATGCATTAGATCTCTCAATCTGTTCCCGTCAGCGTGAAAACCGACCGTTGTGTATAGTTTGTACGTCTCTTTAAATCGACATAAATCACAGAGATTTGTTAGAGAAGAAATGTTTTCTTCCAGCGTCATCACGTCGGCAAAATCTTGATGTCCTCGTTTGGTTCGTTTCGGTGAATTGGAGCACGATGAGTAATAAATAGAAACATTGTCTTCCATTGACTCGCGCGTCGCATCTTGGCAATTAGTAGTTCCCTCAGGTCCACAAAAACGAAATACCCCTGTCGTTTCGCCATAGCGTTTGCCATTCGAACGAATAGCGGCTTGAGATTTGATCGTTTCTACTCGATTAGAATCAATAGGTTTGTAAGCGTCTCGACGCGCCATTTGTTCGTTAAAGCAGTTGAAAGATCGCGAAGAATCTAGTTCTTCCTGTTCACGCTCTGGAAGAGAATCATTGCGATATCCCACAGTTCTACAGTTCGGCAGACTGTCATAAAAATCGTGAGGAGTGTGCATTTGGTCGGGCCATAATGTCTCGAAGTAGTTCGGCCGAGATCCAGGTACACCGATTAATCGGGATGCAGATTGGCGTTTAAGCGTCATCGTAGGCTTGCAGGTAGTCGTAGTAGGAATGTAGAGAGCGAACTCGGCTTGGTTCTCCCCCTTAAAGCTAAATCTATTCCCTATAGTAGACTTAGAAAGAGCCTTAACAAACTCGGTGCCGTCACGCACATACGGCTCCGAGTAGCTATAGTTCACGAAATAAGCGCCCATAGGCTCGTTAGACTTAACATTATCCTGAAATAAAAGAGCACCAACAGTAATTGTTGCCACGTCACTAATACCATTAATTCCCCAGGACAACATCTCTGCCATTGTTTCTTCCGTCGAGTTCAAAGTTATTGCTTCGGAGGTTCTTATCGTAAACCATACGTTTGGATATTCTTTCTTCGAGGTTGTCGGTGTCGAATGAACGAGCATTCGCCTACGGTTCTCCAACAGGAACACAGATGCAGCGCTGTTTGTAAGTTTGCCGCCGGGTCCGAACGCCTTGCTGCCACCTGGCCCGGTGCTAGTGTCCGAAGCCTTCGCGGCCGTTAGGGTCGGCCGATCCTGTTCCGTCGTGATTGAACTGTCCGCGACTCCCGCGCTTCTAAGCGTCTTGGAGAGGAGAGCACGGAAATTTGTATTCTTTGGATCCCAAATTGTACGATAGATTGCAGTCGCTCTCGTCAACGAATGCCGCCGAGTGATCACGATAGTTTTACTGTAAATAAAGGTTTGATGATCTGCTTCAATGTTTCGATTCGCTTCGTTCACAGTCATATAATATTGTACGTTAAAGGCCAATTTCTTCCCATTCACCGTCGAAGAAATACTCAAGAGTTGGACACGGAGATGTGTCGTTTTAGTTTTAGTCTCGCAGCTAGTCTCGTGGCTCGGTATCCCCTTCCTCATAATACTAAAATCGCAAATCACCTTAGAGCTAAGTTTATTAACCACATAAAGCTTACAATCTAACGAGAGTGGAACACATGCGCGTTGCGTCAGCTCGCTCGCGACCAGGTCGAGCCATGGAGGAGAGGATTGTGCGCGTTTCGGCGCGTTTCTCAACGGGAGAGGTCGCGGAGGCTGGTCAGTTAGCTCGTTTCCGGGAACGATAAGCGTAATGGAAGAACTGGTGGCCACCTTATCCCCTTCCTTAGTCATCAAATCTGATTCTTCGTTCGACGATCTATCACTTATTTTAACTTTCTTCGGTATTACGAAATTTAAAGGCGACTTTGATATTTCTTTACAGGTTTCTTCAATGCTCGTTAACGCAATATTATTGTTTACAAACGATATATCGATATTGATGGTCATAATATTTTCCAACATTTCCTTCTTCCCTTTCTTCCTCTTCATATTAATCTGCTGCTGTTTCATCTTCTTCACCTCCTTCTCCTCCTCTTTCTCCGCCTCCTTCTTATCGTTAATTTCCATGAGACAAAATTCGATAATTATGGACGAAGTGTTCACTTTTGAAACGGTACTTCTCAACAAAATCTGTTTGGGGATGCACGATAACCTTTCAAATACCTCGGATGAAAGGAGATTTAGTATCTTAGATGTCTTTATGCCCTTTAGAGTAAGCGTCAGTAATTTCTCCATCATTTTCACGTAAAACGGAAGGCGAGATTCATTTTTCAAAAATAGATATGTGGATTGAAATTTCAGTAGTTCCAGTTGAATTTCGGTTAAAGATGCATAGTCTGCAAACGTTTCAGAATTGTCGGACTGAGTTGCAGCGGACAAGAATCTTTCTCTGATTTTCTGTTCGTACGATAGTTCCTGTGTTACTGGGAACTCGGTGTTCTCCGCATGAATTTCGATCGATGATAAACGTATCGAACAAGATTCTCTCCGTGCGTCCTTAAAATAGTTTGACACAAAATTCTGCAGGATCTTGATCATCTCAATTTGATTATTCTTCAAGAATATTTTCATAATTCTACGGTGTTCAATCTGCGGCACAGAAAGCAATCGTTTGTCTAACAATAAACCGTCGAAAGAAGAGTTCATCATTAATCTGTATGAATTCCAATGGGCTCTTAGTCTCATTGCGATCGCACCACCGTCCATTTCGACGCGGAGGAAATAATGGTTATTGGTTGAGCTGAGCAATATCACAGACTTGTAGTTATCGTTATTATTACTTAGGAGGCTAGAATTAGACTTAACGTTATTGTATTTGCCCGGATGAAGGCAGGACCCTAATAAAGAGTAATTGTCAAGAGAGTCGAGAGAGAAGTGGCCTGATGAGGGGCGATCAGACTTGGGTATCCTAACTAGGCTAGGTACCCCTTCACCGATTGCGCACTTATCCCCTGTTAATCGTAGATTTATGCTTATATTTAGTACCCTAATGTTTAGTACGCTAAAGCTAGTCTTATTATCACTTAGTGTCTTACATATAGACTTAGAGTTATTGGCGGAGCTGCCCGGTTTACATTTGCCGGGCGAGCCCGGTTCATTTCTTTTTCTTGTTGCATTAACTGTTGTTTTTCGATCATCTTGATGATTATGTACTGCTCGAGTTGAGCGATTATTTACTGTACCATTATTATTCTTACTATTCTTATTATTAGTACTATTATTATTATTATTCATATTATTCATGTTATTATTAATATTATTATTAATATTATTATTAATATTATTATTCTTATTATTCTTAGTATTATTATTATTATTATTATCGTAAGTTAGAAGGTGATTTCTTGTTGGGTGTTTTGTGGTTAACGACGCCACTGACTGGCAGGTCGGGCTTCGACTGGTCAAGGTGGACTTGCCTGAAATCAAAACAAAAAGCATATCTCTCACAAACATGCGATTCGAATATAGAATAATGATTAGATAACTGAATGAAACTTGGGACCAGTGCGGACGGGAAAATAAATTACACAAAGAGTGGGGTGGTAACGCATGTGCAGGGCTGTGCGGAACTCCTGCGCATACGTCGTCTTATCCAAGCAAAAATCGCTTGCAGTTATCTAACCATTACTGTACTAAGTTTCCGGTATCAATAGAAATCTGGTCGACTGACAATTTCGTTGTAATATAAGTTTTTCAGATATATTATTTGTTCATCGATCCTCTTGGTTATGCTTCTAGTAAAAACACTGACTATAGTCGCCTACTGCGAAAGATAACGTACGATAACGTACGATACTTAAAATGAACAATTTGGGAAGAGCCTTGCGGTTCGTTTTTATAGTTATGCATGGCTCGAACAATCGTATCTCCTATTCCAAAAATTGTCCATTTTTGTGGACAATCGGAGCGTCAGTTAGAGAGACGTCACTGTATTGATGAAGAAGTCACAGGGTAAATCTTACAATCACCATGGATCGACCTATGAGGGTTAATAAAAATCTGCATTTAGCATATCTAAGACTTTTGTGTAATTCGTTAACGTTACTGGTATACAACGTGCACTGAAGACACAAGCAATTGTATAAGTTCAATGGCTTATTAAAATACTTTATTTATGGTTAATACGAAACCGCCCACGGTTACTTAACCGAAAGCTGGTTTTCACCTATATTAAAACGAGATTACTTAATGGTAATCTTAATACAGGCAAGGTTCAATCTAACAATTCTATTGTGAGATACATTTCAAGGTGATAGAAAAGTACGATGAAATAAAAGTACGATGCGAATCTCTTGACATCATACAACTTTCCGACGACCTTGAAATCTCAAAAAATATAGCCTTGAACAAATGTTTTTGCCTATCATAATATTTGTCCCTCTGAGTCAACTAATATTTTTCTGTGACACTTTTTTCTAGCATAAAAAAAACGAACGAAATATTTTAAATTTTAGAGTCAGGTAAGACACCCTGTATAATATCCAAGTACATAACCTCGCGCAATTATTTCTTAAACTATACATTGTTCGATAAAGTGTTTCAAATAAATCTTGCTCTATTTTAAAGGAAATGTCTTATGATGACCACTCGATCCGTTTAGATGGAGTTATTTTCAAGATCTCATGATAATCTCTGCATTTGTAAAGTAATAAATGAGCTTGAAACCCTAGCACATTTAGATCGATTACTAAGTCATACGATGGCTAAATGAAAACATAATTTGTTAAAGTAACCAAGGTCGTCTTGAAACAAAACAAGTTTTATATGAAATTCTTTTCGAGTAGTATACATATATTTTAGGATCTAATAATATATGATTAAATTAAAATGGGACACCCTTTATATTACTTAGCATAATATGAAAAGTAAATAATTATATGTTGTTTGAATGAAAACAGAAAAAATGAATGAACAGAAAATGATCATTTGGAGTACCTTCTATGAAAATGAACTATAACGGATTGTTGTTAAAGCATAAAAGTGGCTACAATTTTGTCACGAGATCAAATAGGAGACATGATTGTAAAACACCCTGTACATCGGCATGAACTTTGACGTTATACGAGGATCGACTGAAATATAATAATCTTCAATCTGTATCTTCAGAATCAAATAAGATACACCTTTGTCTGTGCACTTTATTTGTAAGAACATCTCTCCTTTATAAATATACGAAGTATAAATAAGTTTGCTTGACGCAGTTTGGAACAGTACCATTTAGAATGAGTCAACGATATTCAAGCAACATGCTGAGATTAACGTTCTTAGCTGTGTAGAAAAATAGGTATGGTATTTTGTAACTGAAGAATCATACTTCCACTTCACTTTTGTTCCATTTTGGTAGCTACTTTCGCTTTTAAGATAGACCGAGGGTAAGTAATTACTATAAAAGGGTCTTCACTGATTTCAATGACCTTGAAATATGTTGTCATCATTGTGAACAACTTTGTCCTATACATGTTACTACCGCTCTGTGTTCATTTCCGAGATATTTACAAAAATAGTCCTATATCGATATATTACCAACAACGTATAAAATGCAGACATTCTACAGGGTGTTCCCAGGTTAAATATCCAAAATTACTCTTAAAAGTTTTTTAATCATTATTATACCGTTCGATAGCTGACCAAGAAAAACTTATCTGTGCAAAATCTGTGCAAATCAGGGTTGTAGCAATAGTACAGCGACATTCATGGCATAACAAAATTTTGACATTTGGCAAGAGATTACTGTTGCGATAGTACCTTATCGGAGAATTAATATAAAAATTGACCGTACTTTTTCTCGAGAAACCTTCAATTTTCCGATTTTTTTTTAGTTTTCCATTTTTGATAACCACAGTTTGCAATCGAAAAATCTGAAAAAATTCTATGATATGAGACTTGATGCCCAAAATAAGCCACATTCTTTTCAAAATTTTAAAAAATCATCGATGGAGGGAAATGAGCGGAATGTGGGCACGCAATCTAATTTACCCTGTAACTACAAGTTACCCTCAAGAGCACAAAAGTAAAAGGATTGAAATATTGCATAGATGAGTTTTTCTTGGTCAGCTATTGAACAGTATTTTTCCTAGGCAATGCTTAGCTTATAACTGGGTTAAGACATACCCTACTTAAAAACGCGAGGCATCCTATAGGATGCTTGCATTTCTTACATTGTCGGTAACATATACGTACAATGCAAAGATACAAGCCTAACCCAGACTTAGTTTAATCCAGTTTAGTTTAGTTTCTTAAGACCTCTGAACAAATGATTCTAACTAGGCGATTCTAGCTAGAGAACCTAACGGTAATATTTCTACTTCCAATAGAGACGGCGTATTACTACTGAAGTCGGTTTTAATCTGCACACCACAGCTATGGCTGGTTACAGTACGCGGGCCCCATACCAATTGAACCGGGGTGGAGAGCGACCAATCATCGGGGCCGGAGCATGCTACCACGTGTCTATCTAATTAGCGGTATGAGCATCAACCCCGCTCATGCCCCCGCAGTTCTAGCCTACAGTTATACATCCTACCACATCGAGCGAGGATACCAGACAACTGAGATTATCCGACTAAGAAGACTATTTGAAACCAGTTTGTGGGTGTCCTAAACTCGGCTTTCCGAGAATTGCCCATTTCAGTTGTATTTTTATCCTTACAAATGAAGCTATATGTTCCCTGGATAGATGTAGAGGGAGGTTGCGAGAGGTCCAACGGTTTGTACCTTTGTCCATTTTGTACCACAATTTGACATAGAATTGCCTCACATGGATAGAACGAGTTTGATAGAGTCACATGGATAGCGAGTTCGCCGTTGTATTGTTCACATCCTGATGGTACCCTTCCCGAAGAGAAAACGATTTTATGTGTAACCGAAGCCACTGTATCAGCATCAATTTCCACCAGAGAAATGTGCTTCAAACCGTGCTTCTAAAGTTGGCAACTGTCCTTTTTCAGTACCCATTTTCGCGGTTAAAAACTTTTATCTCCTTCCCTACTTCATACTCGAGCCAGTTACGTCGGATGACACCAATCTCAGTTATTAATCCAGACAAAACCCAGATCCACCTAAATCTACTCAGACAACCTATTATTAAAAATAGTTCTCGGTTATTTCATACCGCTTTTTTGCAAATATCTCGCAAATCAAAGCCGTCCAGCTGTAACATGTACAAGAGAAAATTATTCAGAATGAATATAACATATCTTGATAACATATTTCAAGGTCATTGAAATAGGTGAGAATCCCCTTATCGTAAATAACCCTTTCGCTACCAGGCTCTGTGAAGCAAGTCTCACTTGACATCCCAGGATAATTGCGACTAAAATATGTTCTTACTTGAAGTATAACCTTTCTAGAATATATGATGTGTAACATTTCAAATACGCAAAATAAACAATTTTACAAACCGACACATAGATGCGTCGCTCAGCTTTGGATAAGAGATTTGTTCTACAGCCCGCGCGTCGCACATTTGTGACATATTTTAATAAAAGGAGCAGAAAAATTGGTAGCGGAAGAACAAAATAACAATGTTTCTCGAATCGAAATGTAAGTTATTTATTTTCTTTCATTTTATTCTTTGCAGGGTGTTTTAAAATTGCTTTTAGGGAATAACACAAGATCTTCGAATACTCATGCCCTCATACAGTTACAGATTTTTGTTTACTAAAAAAATTTAAGTATCCTCAGACCAAGAACATTCTACAATCAGACGTATTTTTTTTTTAACTTAACAGTGAGTCAATTTCCAAACTTGATAAGATACTTTATCATCATATAATACGCGATTTTGGAAGTGTTTCTACTGCCATCTAGACTAATATGTTTTTCGAACTAAAAATCAATATGACCGTGAAACTATATACATACATACATACATACAGGGTGTCTTGTTTAAGAAGGATATCTCGGAAAGAATTATAATTATTAAAAAAAATGTTCCTACAAAAGTTGTTTGGTAGCAAAGGCTACATCATGTAGTATTAACCCTTTGCACTCCGCTGTCCCCTCTCGTGGGACATCGTAATTCTGGCATATCACTCGGATGTCCCCTCTCGTGGGACATTAAAATTTATTAGTGATTACGGGGAATTGAGTTATTTCAGCGCAATTTTTTGAGACATGCATGTTTCCCTGAAATTTTCTCTTGAAATGGCACAAGAAAACAAATCAAAATAGAGTAAAATTACTAAGATATATAAAAGAAATGTCAGCGGGTTTTGACGAGAACGTGAGAAGCGTGCTCACGACGGTCCGAGCACTTCAAAGGCGCCACTTGAAAAGAGCGATAAGGCAAGTTTGTAGAAGAAAGATCGGTATGCGAACATAGCGCACGCACTGTATAGTAAGATTTATATATATAACTCTCTCCTTTACAAAAATGTTCTCCGAGACATCGTTCACGAGTTATTCACGAAAAACACTGACCAATGAGAAACAAACTCGGCCGGTGTGATGCGGGCGAAAAACGAGCGGTCGAAGCCCAATTCCACTCATTGGCTCGGCTGTCTCGCGCCAGCTGATTTCGCCTCCCATTGGTCACTTTTTTGTTAATAACTCGTAAACAAAGCCGCGGAGTGCAATTTCGCTGAGGAAAATATATTGACTTTTAGTTCCAAAAAATTATAGTAGCCTAAATGGCAGTCGAAAGTTCAAAAATCGCGTTTTATATGGACCTGAAGCTTATATAATAATACAAAAAAATATTGGAGTAGTAGTCCCCTGTCATAAACTAAAAAACATACGCCGAACATTTATGACGATGGGCTCTGCAAGCGATNTAGCAAAGGCTACATCATGTAGTATTAACCCTTTGCACTCCGCTGTCCCCTCTCGTGGGACATCGTAATTCTGGCATATCACTCGGATGTCCCCTCTCGTGGGACATTAAAATTTATTAGTGATTACGGGGAATTGAGTTATTTCAGCGCAATTTTTTGAGACATGCATGTTTCCCTGAAATTTTCTCTTGAAATGGCACAAGAAAACAAATCAAAATAGAGTAAAATTACTAAGATATATAAAAGAAATGTCAGCGGGTTTTGACGAGAACGTGAGAAGCGTGCTCACGACGGTCCGAGCACTTCAAAGGCGCCACTTGAAAAGAGCGATAAGGCAAGTTTGTAGAAGAAAGATCGGTATGCGAACATAGCGCACGCACTGTATAGTAAGATTTATATATATAACTCTCTCCTTTACAAAAATGTTCTCCGAGACATCGTTCACGAGTTATTCACGAAAAACACTGACCAATGAGAAACAAACTCGGCCGGTGTGATGCGGGCGAAAAACGAGCGGTCGAAGCCCAATTCCACTCATTGGCTCGGCTGTCTCGCGCCAGCTGATTTCGCCTCCCATTGGTCACTTTTTTGTTAATAACTCGTAAACAAAGCCGCGGAGTGCAATTTCGCTGAGGAAAATATATTGACTTTTAGTTCCAAAAAATTATAGTAGCCTAAATGGCAGTCGAAAGTTCAAAAATCGCGTTTTATATGGACCTGAAGCTTATATAATAATACAAAAAAATATTGGAGTAGTAGTCCCCTGTCATAAACTAAAAAACATACGCCGAACATTTATGACGATGGGCTCTGCAAGCGATTTCGAGACGTCGCATATACATATGCATTGCTAATAGCGAACAACAGATGAGATTACCCAGATAAAAGAGTTCATTACTTTTCAATCGATCCTCACTCAGATTAATAAGCTGGTTCTTACTTCAAGTAATTATTAATAGGCAAATATTTGCCCATTATATGGATAAAGAAAAAATTAACATAAGTGTACTTACCAGTTTCACCCGACAGGACGGTTAAAAAGTCATTGGCGGCGATATTTTTGAGATGGTTTATAGGTTTTACCATCGTGTTGTTGTTTATGAATTCGATATCACAGTACCTAGCATTCTCTGATTCTCTTCCCTTCCCCACCCCTATCGGACTGTTTTTCCCTAATACTACTACATCCCCCTGAAACAAAAAAAAAATTGATCATTATAGAAATACAAGAAAATCTGTATCAGACATAAAATCATCAAATTACACAACTGTCGTTCTATTCATACAATTCCACTGTATATATATATATATATATATATTTGATCCTAAGTCATAAATTCATGTTTCATGTATACAACATTTGTCAACCAAGGGTAGCACTGAAATCGCCAATACAAGTTTTTATTGATACTGTATTAATGAAATTATTACTGTATGCAAATTAAAATTTCGAAGTTGGTTGCAATCAGTTTTTAATAATTGAAGCAACAACAATAAAATCAAACAATCGAACACTATATTGAACAGTTTAATAAATTCCAAATCATACCGAATTTAGCTTATAATTCGATTAAAAATCCTATTTATTTACGTTACTCGTAATCTCATTGAGATGATAATGAAATTTGGTTCGCGACCCATTTTTAATTTAACTTAATTTATTTACTGCTGCCAGTACCAGTAACTTCACATAATTCACTCTTCCAGAATCAAGGCAGAAAACCGGTTAGATTTGTTTTTGTTTAGGCTACATTTTATCATAGCAGAAAGAACGGCTGCAAGAAATGTGAACGCAGCTTAATACTTGGCACATATTATAATGAACTCGTAGTCACTTTGCCCTTTATTTTGCGCGTACAATTATTTTATTTTGTCAATAGAGGCAGCGCTAACCGACGAAGTCAAGATTACACTAAAAACACAATTCGAATAATTTTCAATACTTTAATGCATCACACTTTAGCTGGTCTATTGTAAATCTATTTCGCGTTGGACATATGGAAAAACCGTGAAAAATTAGCGTGTCATTCAACGTGGTTAAGGTGAGGATGCACTAGCAAAAAATTTGTGCCATTTTTCGCGTGAGCAAGCTGCGGAAGTATATGTGCTTCTGTATAAATATTGTTTATATATTATCTCGCTATCGGAAACTAACCGTTACAAGTGAATTCAATTTACTGACGAGTATTTTAAAGGCGTTAATACCTTGTAACGAGTTACTCTCTCAAAAAATATCGCAAATTACTTCTGTGTCGCAATACTGACAAATACATTTTTATTTTATGTATTTGTTCTCAAAGTGAAAATTTAAAATGATGAGGAAAATAAAAGCAGTTTCTATAAAGCATTGCCCACAGAAAGATATTTTAAGAACTCAGCACCGTGATGCACTTTGGCTCAGGTAATAATGTTTATTAATGCTTAACTTAAAAGTATTGAAACTTTGTAACTATAAAGTGAATCCTATGCGACCTCCTACAATAGTATATATTTTATTATGTACTTCATAATCTATAGTTTACTACTCTCTTACATGTCCTTGTATGATGAAGCAAGTGTGAAACTGAAGACACGTCTTTTTTTTAACTGTTACGAACGCCTCTAATAAGATTGGCAAATTTTTTTGTTACTGTAACCATAGTGTTAAATTTTGTAATATTATATCTCGAAAGCAATTCTTCAAGAATTGTTAAATTTTAATCACTACAATAAATGAACATGAACACTTTACAACATTATTTACTTGATTTTACGCACTGTTCGTTAACAAGAAAGCAAATATATTCATTGAAAAGAGGAACGCAGGATTGCAGGAGGATCATTTAAATAAATAAACTGTTTAATAAACTACATTCTTTGCATGTAGTACTACTTTGCACATAGTTCACTTTGTCAAGTATCGTTATGGAAAAAATGTCTCTGTGCTGTAAAACGAAAGTAACGTTGAACAGATTTATTCTTTTTGTTAAATTTAAATTATTTTGCGTTCTTATTCTTTTATAGTAATAAACTTACCATGGAATTTTGTACGAAGGCATTTGTTTCTGTAGAAATCTCATGTGAACTAGAATTGTGTGGAAACATTGGGCTCAGTTCTTCTTTGGCAGGCAATGCATAGAAACCAAGATCTACAATCAAAATGATGAGTTTATTAATCACGTTGGTTGTACTATAGAAAAACTTTATAAATCATATGCAGAATGATTCTTACAAATGACCAATTTGGTTGTTCTTCCGAAAACCGATCACATCCGACTTGGCTGAAAATTTGCAAATAAATTTATTTTACATTAAAATAGTATTTGCCAGAAGAATTTCAACAATTCAAAATTTAGGACACAAAATTTTGTGATAATTATTTTACGATTTTAGTTTACGACTCCCTATAATTTTCAACAATTCTATGCTTCAATTTCGCTGATATCCTGAAAACAGGTGCTTTTTAGTTAAAAACAACGTTTGCGACAAGAATTTTTGATGACTTTTATTTAAAATAGAAAATTTTATGATAAATGGTTTATTACTGTAATGTTGCTATGTACCTGCTTTACCAATGGAACCCTGCCGTTTGAATTATTTCTGAAGGCACAACTTATCATTGATAAAATACTTGGCCATTGTACCAGATAAAACATGGACGTGACTCATGATATTATAATAAGTTAGCTACTAAACATTTTTTCATTTTTTATCTTTTTGTAATTGGGTTAGATTTGGGTTAGGTCATCAAACATTGTTTTTATTAAAAAAAAAAAACTGATTTCAGAATTTCTGCGAAACCAAAGCATAGAACTTGTCAAAATAACAGGGAGTAACACTAAAATGGCAAAAACGGTTTCCGCAAAATGTTGTGCCTTCAATTTGGAGTCGCGGGAAATCCTTCTGGCAAACATAATTTTTATGTAAAATGAAGCTACAGTAAAGACTTCCTTATCCGAACATTTTCATCTATTTTTACAATATTCTGGTATCCAAACGTTCTATTATTTAACTATTGTATCATTTAGATATATTATCGCCTAGTAGAGAGAATTTTTAATAATAGAATTTTTAGATAATAGAATGTTTTGATATCAGGATATTACAAAAATAAACCTTCAAATAACAAAGTCTCTACTGTATTTACAAAATTTCAATCAAATCGGTTTTCGGAAGAAGGTTTTCTGATAGTGTTCTCTGTGACAAAATTTCAGTTATTGGCATTTATCATACAAATTTTTAGTCCCTGTTTATTAGCATTTGTAGCTACCATAAAAAGAAGAACTGCGGGATTTGTACACATTCAAAATATAAACGTAATGAATATAATATTTTTACATTCTTGTCTTACAGTTGACGCAGTGATCATATATTTTTTATTTGAAACTCTTTCAGAATTATTACTCTTTCATTGAAGTAATCTTGTAATTTCTAGTCACATCGTTTATTTATATTTAAAAGATAATGAAACCTAAAATTATAAATATCTAAAAATGTCACTACCCACCTTGTAGACTATCACTATCAATGTGCTCCTAGCTCCATGCCAGTGGAGATCTGGAAACCGAATAAAATATATGAATTACTATTTAGTTGATGCTTTATATTACGAAAATATTTTAATTCTAAAATATGGATAAATAATTAACAAAATTTTGATTATTTATGTTTTAAATCGTTAGATTTTTAAAATACACGTCACTGTTTGTAAACAACGACTTATATATCATGACTAATATTCTTTTGACGGCTCACCAGAAAATTATATTCGTAATATTGACATATTCTGTGCGGTCTTGAATAAGGTTTGAGGCCGATAATTCGTATCTTATACACTGCACTCAAGTATCCTTTTTAGGAAAAGCGGGAAACATTTTGGAAACTTTCTCGCTTATGTGTATATAGGTATATACGGATATTATTAACAATTAGAAACCATTATTATATTAACAAGTGATGATAATATAGAACGAATATTTTCATTTTTACATATGACTAACACTTATTTTGATTACAGCTTGTATAATAAAAAAGCTGTATTTATGAAAAATTTTCATATGTTTCCATAATATTTTTAACAGTTATAATTATCATAATACGAATATATTAGGCGTACAAATTAATTCATGCACCGTATGAAGATTTATTAACTATTTGTAAAATGCAGCGAATTCATAGAAGGCAAAGAAATATTCACATTTTCGACTCAAAAATGTATTTTACACAAACCAGACAAATTATTAGCTTGGCACTTCATCTTTCATAACAGTTTCCTTTCATTTTATCATGATTCATGTTATCACTTAAAAGTTTGATATTATTATTATTATGTAAATCAATGCCTTTCTGTCAATATTTGCAGTATACAATCTTTATTACTGTTTTTTATAGTATTATCATATACAGGAGTATCACAACATTTTTTGTAAACTTTTTATTGTTTATCAAATACAATCATGTTTAGCGTTTTCCTCATTGAAAAAATATCGGTACTTCGATTCAACTAATTCAATGCTTACAAAATAAAAAGTGATTCTCACTATGAAGACAGTTCTAAGAGATAGAGGTAATGGCTCCGCGAACATTAACCTTCGCAACACTGACGGTCCCACAAAAGACGATGCTGGATCCGTGTGAACATATTCGCTTGTGCAACCGTATCAAACGAAGTTTCTACTAGCTAAGATTATTACCTCTTTTTTCCCGAACAGACAATATGGTCTTGTATTTCGAGTCTAATCTAATAGAAATCGTAATGCATCGACCATAATTGTAGAAAGCTATATTACTATAAACCGTAATTACTAGGGGTACATCAACACAATGCAACTTGTGCAGTGTCACGTGATATATAAAAATTTTTGCTTTAGGTAAAAAATTAATTGATTTTATATACATACGCATATATTGTGACAAAATTTTAAATGTTGATATTTTGTGATATACATAAATTCACTTTAGTGAAGTTTTTAGCTAGTAAATAAAGAATAATTTTTTCCAAAAATTATTCCAAATCAATTCGAATTTCAACACAAGACTATTGCATAAAATGATTGTTAATTTTAATTTAATTTTAATTATGATTACTACTAAATTCACAAAATTAGCTACTAGCAGCTGCGATTTAAAGAAAATGATCTTGAAGTCGATTAAAAGAAAATGATCTTGAATTGTGGAGGCTAGTTTCGATAAATAGAGCAGTCTATACTTTCGATTTTCCCAATACATTTTTCCCGATAGTCTTATTAGTTTATGAATAAAAAAATTATTACATAATTGATTATCTATTATTTGAAAGTTGTACTATTTATGTCTACTTTATTGTGGAATTTGTACAATAAATTTGTATCCTTTAACATATTTATCAGATTTCATACTCTTTTTATAATCTTTTAATAAAGCATTTATGAACTTTGTACTACATAACATTTCAGTGTTACTTTTATCTCTAGAACACAGTGGCAAAATTTGGTCGTTAAACCTCGGAGACACTGTATACAGTAAATTCTTCCTGATTTTCCTTCAGTTTGTAAACAAAAATAGCCAATTGGGAAGGGGAGACACAATTATTCAAACTTTGCACATCGTTTTTGTAATTGTTGATGATCGGCAAGTAGAAAAATGAACCGCGAGACTCAAGTAATCATATCTCCTCTTCTCAAATTGTCCATTTACTGTATTCTTATAAGAATCGCTACAAATATTGCAAAAATCGCTATTTTATAAAATTAATGTAAAATAGTTGCCTTTGGCGCATCTAGTGTTAATGAAATTCTAAAGATCGACACGAATCGATGTCATGCAGTATGTACTGTTCACTACAGTTTCAGCTGCCGAGTTCTACTTGGATGCGTGGCACCTTTATACCTTCACGCTCGGTGTATTTTACGATTGGTGGATTTATGTCTGCTTTTACGACGCCATGTTGATTTAACCCCGCACAGTTCTCGATAATAGTTATTAAATTGAAAAATTCTAAGGTTATGTCAAGGTTAAATTGTTGAATTTTGCTTTAAACTTTAATATTGTAAATGTTGTAAGAATTTATCAAAGAAACGTTATAGGCTCCTTGAATATAATGCTACGCACCATGACCTTCAGTAATGTCGTATATAAAATTCATGCAACCAATTTCATGTAGATACATTATTAAATCGTCGATGTCACATCCGTATGACGGTGACAGCGAATGTGTTCAATCACCAAATTTCGTTTTAGATATGATTTCAAATTTACAAGAACACACACACATTTATGACTCGAACATTTCCATCCTGAACAAGGGTATAAGGGTTACACAATCCTTAAAAAAACCATAAAATTAAAATACAAAGCTTAGCTTATATGTACTTCTGAAAACTGGTCGCACCCGATCTAACTCAAATTTTGTAAACAGTTTTATTTTACACGAAAAGAATATTTGAAAAATTTTAGTGTCGCTCCCTGCAAGTTTGAAATGTTCTATGCTTCGCTGAAATTCTGGAAACAACTTCGTTTTAGGTATAAACAATGTTCGATAACCTAATCCGAAAGATTGAAATAATTAAAAAAAATAATAATAATAAGATAATAAATATAATTACAAAAAACAACGCTTGAGAATTTAATTAATAAACTTAATCGCTAGCTTTATAATATCAAGCGAGCTTCCTGTTTTATGAATAAAACATAAAAATAAAGGTTCTATCAGTAACCCACAGAGTAACATTACAGTGATAAATTATATTTCATAACATTTTGAATTTTAACTGAAAATTTTTATCATTCAACGTTTTTCTTCTCTGTTTAACATGCTAATGCTTAAAGAATATTTAACAAGATAATTTTAATTCTAAATTCCCCGTTTTTCATTTTAAATTAACAGAATCGAAATTTGTTTGCACAAATCTCTATGAGAATATTTTTTTAAAGACATTCAAGAAAATTCGGACAATCAAGGCGAACTTGGCCAATTTTGTTCCTAAGTAACTAGGTATGGACAATAAACCTCACAGATGATTGAGACATAAGAATTTATAAAAATGTATAAATTTTCAAAATATTAAGAAACCTGATAAATTCGGAGACGTAAGCAGCCAGTTACACTATGTCGTAAGAATGAATGAAATTGTGTAATTATTAACTGCGAGCATACTTAATAAAAGACTATGTTTTATATTGCACATGATATTTGAACTAGACCTTGTCATCTGACAGCAATGTAAAATGTTCGCTGACGTGTATGACACGCAGCTATTAAATAGACAGAAACGACACGGTCTCGGAAGCACGAAAAAGGTAAACTTTAATGTAAAAATGAAAAAAGGATAGAAAAATCATTGCAAAATTGATTAAACTTCAATTTTTTCTTTGAACTGTTATCAATCCTTCAATGTTTTACTTTTTAACTCAAAAATGTGTTCACGATAAGAACACATGTCTAAACTAAAGAAACATCTTTAAATTTTTATTTTCTCACGATTACAGTACCTAACATGGCGTATTTAACGGCGGATTAGATGTTACTACTCTAACAATATTATGCATAGCACTTTCTAACAAAAAAGTGTTTCTAGTTACTTCAATGGTGCAATAAAATATCTCTACAATATAAAAAAGTTCGTTAATTTTCAGCAGTTTACATTAAGTTCGCCAATAACGACGCACGAGTCAGCCAAATCTATTTGACCAAACTTACGTGCGCCATCATTGGTACATGGAAAAGAATTTTACTCCTTTCCAACCAAAAAACATTCTAAATCCAAAATCCCTTACATTTTTCTCTGCATTTTCTTCCAGCTGTTTTCGAATATATCGCATAGCTGTTCAAATGTATTGCACATGTTACGAATTTTGCTAAAATGAGCAACAGGATCAATTTGCCGAAGAAGAAATTGACAAAATTTTGTGCTAGAGAAGAAGAACAATTTGAAACTCAAAATTTGTAAGTGATTTCTTGAAAGACGAAAATTTATTAAAGATACCAAAAGAATGTGTGTAAAAGCGAACATAAACGCGGCGAAGGCAACAAATTCAAGGAGAACATCGAATATAGTTATAAAAGTAACTCCTTATTGCAAAAAATGACCATTGTTATCTTATCAGCATGGAATACGTTTGCAATTTAGACGTAATCATATGATTTTGACGACAGAACTGTGTGTGGAAGTGATCTTTAACAACAACAAAAATTTCCCATCTGACTGTTTGAGTTCTAATCTATGACATACTACCACACAAAAGAATAACGTAGTATATACATCGTTGTATTTATCTTGATAAACGCTATCACACAGTATACAGAAGAAAGTACTTCAAACCCTTTACATGACATTGAACAGTTTTTACTTTCTAGTGAACGAAACAAGTTTAAATTCCATTTAACTTCGATTCACATAGTAACAATATTAGCAAAATTAGTAATTGTTTTTTTAGTCTCTTTAGACAAATAAGTTGAAGACATCAATGCTTTTTAACACTATGGTTAGAAATAAAGAAAACCGGAGAAGAAAATTTGGAGAATCGGTATCGATTGATGTCGCGATTCGCGATGGTTGTTTTGATGTCATCAGCTCTCG